TTAGTAAACTCATTACCAGTGAAACTCCCTGAATTTATTACTGATACAACCCTGGGGCAAACTTCTAGGCCCAACCATTCAAAGTACCTAAACCTAGTGTCCAAGTTGGCCCCACATCTGGCCAGTCTCAAGGTTCCAGTCAGGCTGCTGTTGTTGCTGTGCGGGAACTGACTCATAGCTGACCCGGCAGTGGGTTTTTAGAGGCAGTAAATAACACAAGAGTTGCCTGCTCATCTTTCTCATGCAGAGCTGCTGGCAGATTTGAACCTCGTGCCTTCAGGATGACAGAACAATTCTTTACTGGTAGGCCAGTAGGGCTCCTTACTAGGTTTGAATAGTCACAGGCTAAATGAAGCACATGCATTTCAAGCATTCCTCCTTGAGATCACCTTAATGAGACCCTGGCCTCGTTGGGGACCAGTGAGAAAAAGGAGCAGGATCATGACTACAGGGCATCCAAATTTTGGGTCTGCCAGAAAGTAAAGAAAATCATGAACTTCTCAAAATAGACTATAATTTTAAAATCCAAAATGTGCAAGGGCAATGCCTTAGGGTAGTAGCTTTTTTCCCCCACGAGGACTTAAAATGAAATTTTAGCATTTTCTTCAGTAGGTAATTTTAAGAAATACTATGAAACTCTATGTCTAGAAGCATAGTTAAGAAATAAAGAGTATAAAATCTAAGTGGTTCTTAACCTTCAAAATTCTTAAATACATTACACCATTCCTGATTATCTAACACTAGTGTTGTTTCTTCACATTAAGCCAATCAAATCTACAGAAAATAAGTTTAAGAACCATAACTCTATCACCAAATATCCATGTTTTTATTTAAATAAATTTATGTTTTTGGAACTGATTTTTCATCTTACAAAATCAGATTTCTAAAGTATTGATTAGATATATTTTCTAACATTAGCTAAACTAACAATATAGTAACATGACCTATCTTGCCATTAACATTCAAATTCTAAATATTAGAACACTTACATATACCACATATGCTGAATAAGAGGAGGAAACCAATTAAAATATTAGTAGCTTAGATTTCCAAAGAGATTATCAGATATATTCACAAAGCATTTTAATAAAGGTTTAATTTTCAAAACCGTAAAAGTTATACATGATTATAATGTAAAAAGCCTCTCCCAAACCGGCATCACTGCTGTCTTCTTCATTTTCCCCTTACTCCAAAATTCACAGGTAACATCTATGAACATTTCTTATGCATTCCTCCAAAGATTTCAAATACAGAATCAAGCTTTTTTGATGTATGAATACCTTTGATAAAGAGTGCATCCATATATTGGAATAATTTTAAAACTTTTTTAAAAACTTAACAACAGATATTGGGCATGCTTCCATAGCAATGCATCTGCCTCCTTCATTATGCATGAATGTCCCATTACAGGATAACACTCTTTATTCTTCTCAATCTGTAGGTTAGCTCAGAAGAAGCTATAGTATAGGTACTGTTTGTGGGGGGTAAAAATGAAAAGAAATAGAAAATCCGTGACAAATTCATTCAAGGGCATTATTATGAAAATGATTACTCAGTCCTTTTCGCCCTCAATAACCCCACTAATAAAATGCTCCAAAGTTCAAGTAAAATCTGTTTTTGTTTATATGTCACACTTAAAGAAGCAGGGGCTAAAAGCCCAAAATGGTTATCTATCACTTCAATGTGTAGTGAAACGACCAATCTAGAATTCATCCAGAATAAACAATATTTCTGTCTTCTAATGTGCTGATTCTGCTGTCCAAAAGACCTTTTTAAAAAATACAGAAGGGCGTTTGGGAGGGAGAACAATCAAATAAAATAATTTTTAAATCAGTGCTCAACTTGGATTTTTACAATCATTTGCAATGTAGGATCTGAAAGGTGAACGCTTGTATTCTGCCTTCAGGGCCCAGGTAAATGGAACTAGTCTTGGGCCTCGCGGGGTTCCCTGTCCCCCTGGTAACGGAGCATCGTGGTCACTGCCAGGCTGCACCTTGGCCCTATCACCAACACACAGAACAGAAGTAAATGCCCAGCATCTCCCTCACTCAAAAAGAAAAGTAGGCAAAATGCCGCTGCAAAAGGGTGAGGCCCGTTGCGCGCATGACAGCACTTCCCCTTTTCCCCCTTGAACCGGTTTCCTGCCTCCCGTGCAGCAGCTTCGATTCTACAGGAAGAGGAAGGCTTGGGTCTTCTTCCTTTCTACACATCAGGGACCTCGAAGGAGCCCATCCCAGTCCTTCAAATACAACTCTGACCCCGTCCCCCGGACCTGGTGGCCCGATGGCCCCGCGCTCGCACGGAGCCGGCCCCGCCGGGGCAGCAAGTGGGGTCTCGGTTCCCCGCGAGCCTCGCCCGCCGCCCTGACAGCGAGGGGCCGGCCCTGCCGGGGCAGCAGTTGGGGTCCCCGTTCCCCACGGGACTCGCCCGTCGTGCCGACAGCGAGGGTGGGAGGGCTGGCGGCTGAGTCCGCTTGCTCCACAATCCACTGAGACAGGAAGCCGCGAAGCCGCACCCCGTGGCCCGCGAAGGGTCCAGAGACCGGCGCCCCGCGCGCCCGCACACCCTCCCCTGGCCCGTGACCCCGCCGCGAGCTCACCCCAGTGCCGTTGTCGCACACCACCACCTTCCTGCCCTGGCTGTCCATCGTCCGCCCGGAGGAGAGCCGCCGACACCGTACAACCTAAAGCCAAAGCCGCCCGGCCTTTCCTCTTCCTCTTCCTCCTCTTCCTTGTCGCGGCCTCTCCTTCCACGGAAACTTTCTGTTCCCGACCGGAAGTCACCGCCCGGCCTTTAATTTGACAGCCCGCCCGGCGAGGGCGAGAAGCGAGCAGGAGGCCGTGACTGGCAGCCAGAAGACCCAATTAGAAACAGAGGGCGGGAAGGCCCCGCCCGCCGCGCCCGCTCCCTCTGAAGCCACGGGCACCGCCCACACGGCTGTGCCTCCCGCCTCTGGTTCCGGGCTGTTCGGGCGGCGGTGATGGCGCCCGGCGTGGGGAGTTCCGGCCTTCTTCCAGACGTTTCGGAACTGAATGTGCGGGGCACTTTGCAGAGCCGAAGGCGCGGGAAGGGAACCAGATCTGCCTGGAGGTCGCGGTGGAATTTGGCGAAGAAACCTGAAGGGAGGGCGGGGAGCACACCAACCAGGTGTGTCATCGCTGCTAGGCCTCACACATACACATAGAGAAGCCGCACCCAATCACATGTGTGTGACATTGGTTCTAGACCTTTTTAGTGGAGCACGCACTCGTACATGTTGTTGTTGTTGTTGTTGTTGTTGTTAGGTGCCTTCAAGTCGTTTGCGACTCATAGCGACCCTATGTACAACAGCCCTAAACCCTGCTCTATCCTGTGCCTATCTCATTGCCTCTGACACACCCATCCCG